TGGTATTGTTGAGGACGGGTATGTGTTTATGCATATATATATATTATATATATATGTGTGTGTATGTGTGTGTCTCTCTCTCTCTCTCTCTCTCTCTCTCTCTCTCTCTTCCTCAATTCTCGTGTCAAATAACTACAACGGTCTGTCATACTACATGTACCCCGCATCCATGCACGAGAGACACACAGAGACATCACAACAGAAGAAAAAAAAACGAATCAGCGACATCTTGTTTCCAGCTGGAGCCAGCGACTGTTTATACCTGCCTCAGGACTGGATACGTGCCACTTCCACTACGACCTTGCGTAACCTCCCTTCCTCTTCCCATTTCTACCTTTAGGGCATGTCCTCCGGATTAAGTGCTGTTGTTTTTCTTTTAGCTTTGTAGATGTTGTAGCAGTCATACATGTAGTTGTTCTTTCTTATTCTTCTTCTGCTGCTGCTGCTGCTGTTGTTGTTGTTGTTATTGTTGTTGTTGTTATTGTTGTTGTTGTTGTTGTTGTTTTCGTCGTCGTGGTCGTTGTTGTCGTCGTTGCAGTACCGGTTTTGTTGTTGTTGTTGTTAATCTCTCTCAATTGGTGATATGGCACAGAGCGTTTTATGGCCACGTTAAATGTTGGGTCACCAGCCCTATTTGAGGGGCAAAGAAAATTAGAACAGGAAATGCAATTTTAAATTGCACCAAAAAAAACCTCACAATGATGTTGTCTCAGAAGTACTTTTTTTTCAGGGAGAATTCTGACGCAGACGATACATGGCTAAACACGCCATCATTGTCTCATAAAAGGTTTATAAACACATTGTACAAGGAGAGGCAGAAGCGTTGTCCAGACGTGTATCCTCTCTGTGAGAACCAACGAGGCCTTGAAGTTGACACTAAGCCATCTACATCTGCGTTATTAAGCAGGTGTTTCCCCCATAGCAACACTTTTATATAATTTGCTTCGAATAGAAACGCGTTGTTTACTCAGTTTATGCGAATGACCGCTGAGGCCGTATTTTTTTTAAAGACAATTCAACAAACTTTGCCAAAGAAATAAATGAATATTTGCGAAATAATGCTCTCTAATCTCAGAGCAAATGCTCAAATCGTCCTTCTGAGAGTTCTTTCTTTTTTGTTGTTGTTGTTGTTGTTTTGGTTTTTTTGCGCAAGTCGAGGTTGCGTTTCCGGTTCACATTTTCTTTTCCCCTGAAATGGGACTCGTGACCCAACGTTCAAGCATGGCCATAAAACCCTCTACACCACAGAGGTCAAAGAACAGATTCAAAGTCATTGCAACCTTTCTATCTCGTCTGTAACTTCGCTGGTTTAGTGTGATAGCATTTTGGTATGATCTTCTCCATTTACATTGCACGTTCGCTTGTTTGTTTGTTTTTATTTGTGCTTTTTTCATGTGTGTGTTTATTGTGTGTGCGTGATTTGTTGTTGTTGTTGTTTTGTTTGGGGGTTTTAAAGGGTTTTTTAGGAAGGGGGGTGGTTACTGTAGGCTCTCAAACAGGAACTATGAGAGGGGCACAGGCATGAACCAAGCCCACTCCATAAAGGGAAACTTACGTAACATTGCATTTTTAACTGGCTATTGGTCAGAAACTAGTCAAGGAGATATCACCCCCCCCCCCTCTACACTTTTATTATTATAATTGGAAAAAAAGGAGGGGGGGGGGATTTGATACACAACAAAAAAATGACGTCCTTTGAGGCACGACGAGTCAATGAGAACAATAAATCCCTGAATGTGCTACGCTCACAGTTTTTGCAGTTAACAGGCGTTGCTACGCCAGCAGTAAATAACCTACGAACATGGCTGTTTGCGCAGTGGATCATTTACTCCTCATGTACCCCATAATCGTTGAAAGGCTTAAAGAGTTGAACTGTGTGCACCTAGCGAGAACGCACACCGTGTTCTCCATACAGGTAAAACCGCACTCGAACCAATTGTCAAAGAGTTCAAAACGCGCTGCAGCTCTGGAAATCAAATCATAGCCCGTTTTTAAAACGGAGAACTGTTACTGAATGAGCACATCCTTGTACCAAGACTTTCAGATAAAATGCACTTGTACCAAGATTTCCTGATTAAGTGCATTTGTACCATGACTTCCAGACAAAGCGCATTTATACCAAGACTTTCAGATAAAGTGCACTTATACCTAGAATTTCATTTAAAGTGCACTCGTATCAAGATTTTCAGATAAAGTGCACTTACACCAAGACTTTCAGGTAAAGTACACTTAGACTTTCAGGCAAAGCACGTGTACGAGACTTCAAATTTTAGCTCAGTGCGAAGAATGGCGGCCATTATTTTGGCCAGAATCCATGAGTAATTTTGGCACACGGTATGTGATTCGGTCAGATCATCCTAAATCAAGTATGAGTTAAGTTTTGTTTATTTTGTATCATTTAATGTACTTATATTTTGTTCTAAATTAAGTTTTGCTTTGTTGTGTTCTTTTGATTGCTGTTGTTGCCGTCGTTGTTCTTGGTACTGTTATTTTGCGGGTGTTTGGGACTAGTCCAATCCATCCGATGGGGGAGAAAAAGAGGGTGCAGTGATTATCGTGTGGAGACTAAATTTCGTTCAATAGTTTTTTTCCTCCTTTCATCACAACGAACTCTGCTGGAAGTGGATCTTCTCTGGATATTTGAATCGTTATTTCATCTACAACAGGACTGTTGCCGGATAGGTAAGACTGTGTGAACCTTGATCAAGATGGCAGATCACTTGTACTTGATTATTGTGAGTCAGAAAAAAATAGAAAAAGGGTGTAAGTCACATTTCGCTGGGGGGTGCGGCAGATATTTTAGTGTGCTTCCACACATCGGGAGGTTAAGGCGGGGGGGGGGGTGGCGGGGGGGAGTGCTATACAACATTGCATTTGATAGAAATCACTGAATGGCTTTAAGTCAGAGCTAAGGCTTTTACACATGCCCCAAACTGATCTTGCTTAATTAAGTCTATCTGTTTTGTTTTGTTTTTTGTTTGTTTTGTGGGTTTTTTGTTTGGGGGGGGGGGGTCTCAAGACGACCTCAAGGTCACTTAATTTAAACCTTTTATTTATCTCATCCTCTCAATCATTATAAGTTGATTGTTCACTAGAGCAGTGGACGATTACTTGTAAGAGCCAAAATTTGTCCATGCCGATTTTCTGTTCTATAAGTGAACACTCGTTATTCAATTCCGTTCAGGTTTTCAGATCTAACAGAACCGACTCGTTGAGTAAGGGTACATGTTACTTAAAGTTGGAGCCACTATCCATTTCAGAATGAGGCGTACGAGATTGAGGAAAAGAAAGAAAATTTTGTTTTTTCACGACAATATTTCCCTCTGTGATAGAAGGGGCACAGTGACAAAGGGCAGTACTGGGCAAGCATCCGTTTTCATATCAACCAGATCTTGAATGCGCCAAGTTGTAGTGAACCAGTATTCATGTACTTCGTAAACAAGTAATCTACTTACGTTGGAGGAAATCGTGGCTTAAGAATGGTGGATAATGTTTTTAAGAATCCACACTTATGTTTTGAGACAGAACCCTATAGTTATAAGTTACGAACTGATTCATATAAAATGGGTTGGACAAAAGTTCCAACATTTAGAATGATTGTGTACCTCGTATTTTTAATCTTTTTAAAACAACAAATTATACTTTCAAACACAATTGAAAAGACAGTCGAGATTACCGAAGGCAACCAACGTTTGTCGAGGAGAAAAGTGGTTGTCTTAAACAGGTGGACGTTTATGACAGTGTCATTGTAATGTTTAAAAATAGTAGGGTGGAGGAAGTGGTCTTAACATTTGCACAGGTGATTGTCTTGGACAGGTGGCCGTAAGAGCAGATTAGACTGTAATTGAAGGGTTATAAAAATACAACACTACAATGTTTTGGGTTGGGTTGTTCGTTTTTTCTACACTCTTTCCAGCCACTTCTTTCTTACCTCTGGGAGCTTTCTGTACAATGGTCAGAGCACCATAGGTAGAATGACCAGTCCATGAACCCGCAACCCTTTTAAAGAAAACTAACCGGTTAACAGGATACTCCACAAGGCCTACTACAAATTTTGTCCAGCTCTTGCTGAAGGTAGAAATAGAAGGGAGGTAAGTTCGTTGTTGGCGGCGAGCGAGCACACAGCGGGAAGGGCGGAAGGAAAAAAAGAAGGAAAAAAGCTCATCTTCCGCGAGTCACTGGCAGTCTGATCTGAGCGTGTGGCTCGCGCGCGCTGACGCTGAGGTAGTAGTGAGGTCTGTGTCGGTGTTTATGGGGAAACGCACGGTGCGATGAACTCTGCGAATGCAGACGTGCGGTGGGAGTTGATGTATACCGCTAATCCTTTATCGGACGGACTCCGAAATCGCCCAACAGCGGGCGCATACACGATATCTCTTTGATTCACTTTCGATTCTTCTTCAGATGCACCTTGTGAATTCATTCATGATTCTTGCCCAGACTTTTGGATTGCTTCTGATTCTCAAATCCTATTTTGGCTTCAACAATACGCAGTAATAGAGTCATAGAGGCAATGAAATTAATTTGTATAAAATAAACCCAGAAATAGATAGACTGGTTCAGTTTAGTCAACGGTTGTTTTAATAGATCTATTTCAAGTGTGATATTTGGAAAATGTAATTATATTCTTTCAACATGAATGATATTCTGGCTTATGATTGTGTTCTCAGATTTAAGTAAGCGCACACAAAAGACTGAAGCCTACTTATTATATAGCGTAGCAAAGACTCGGTGTAATAAGATTATAAGCAAATAGATTGATGTTGAACAACACCACGAGTTGAGTGGCAGAGTGGTGTGCGTGTAGGTGTGCATGTGGGTGTGTTCCTGTATGTTTAATGTCGGCCTCTACCTGGATTTCCTGACTGAACCTGCAGCCTTTTGTTGTAAGTACACTGTTATATCCGTTGATGTTTCGTCTGTGTATGTTTAGAGAAAATACACGTATGTGTGTGTGAGTGTGTGTGTGTGTGTGTGAGAGAGAGAGAGAGAGAGAGAGAGAGAGAGAGAGAGGGAGAGAGAGAGGGAGAGAGAGTGTGTATGTGTGTGTGTATGTGTGGGAGGGGAGGATTATGTGCGCGTGTGACAGAGAGTAAGAGAAAGAGAGATGGAGGAGAGAAGAGTA